ATGGAGAATATGCATACTGATGTTAGCATGCAAAGGGTTAAATGAATAAAGGGGGTAAGTTTCTAAAGAAACTGTGGGCTGCATCAGGGGGAGAGTATAACAGGGTAATTTGGTACTATTTACTGAGTTGATAATGAAAATTGACCTCACTGACATTATTTTGGGTGTTGGCCCTTTGTCAGAGCAAATGATGAAGGGCTCACACTCAATATGTCACCTTTGAAACTCTTTCCAATGGCCAATTTGTGTTATCAATTCAGTTGATAACACTGAATTATCCTTTAAAGGGTTAAACCAGTTTAAATGCATGTGCTTGTCACATATTTACCTGATACAGAGGTGTGAGTTTTAGCCCCTCCTAGTTCCTCTTGAGTGACATCTTCTTGTGTGACAGTCTTGTTTCCAAAAGGGACACACGCAAAGGAATTGAAAAATATTAAAGGTTAGATCTTACAATCCTAGCAGCCCTTTCCTGTCCTCATTTATACTGAAGCCTTTCCCCTTAGCCTCCAGGTGTGACTAGCATCCAACTTCTCCTAACACATCACCCCTGAATCATACATTAAGGTCATGAGAATAAAGGAAATGATCACCTTGTCAGCACCTTAGCAAATGTATAGAGAACAGTATGGAGAATATGCAAACTGATGTTAGGGTGTAAAGGTTTAACAAGAAGGTACTTGATATATGGTCATGCTCCCTCATCTATTCCAGCTTACCCCCTCACCCCAACCAGGAATTTCCCCCTCACTCTACAAGTTACTCTATCAGCTATCCTGAGTAGAAAGAGAGACATGATGAAGTGACCCCTGACTCCAACCACTGCAGGAGTAAGGTGCTTTCCCCTAGAACACTACCTAATGACCCTAACCAGAATGAAACCAAAGACTTTCCAATCCACAGTTCATTGGCCAGTGGGGCACCATACCTCTCAGAACAAAGAACAGTATTGTGCAACTATTAATTCTAACTGTCCTTATATTCTTGCAACAATAAAGACATCCTATGAGCTGTCCAACTTCTACTAGACACGAAATAATTATCAAAAGTAATCTTTTAACCCTAAAACTCTCAGAAATGATTAACACATCACTTCTCCCTAGAATATCCATACATTATACAACAAACAGGTTATGAAAATACTACAACTAAAGCCAAATTCTCATAACTTTTTATATGGAAATGTTAACAGCTCGAGGGAAGAATTAACAGTCAGATCTTAGGAGTTAAAGGGTTAAGATTTAAACTCACTATGAACCACCAAATTACCTTCACTACATCTGGTCCAGTAATGAACAGATATGATGTGTCCTGAAAAGTAGATGGAGGAATTTTCAATATTGTCAGACAGATATTCGATATTTAAAATATCAAACAAATTAGTTTGTGGTCTGTAAATTGAGAACCAGAAAGAGTACCACCCTCGAGAAAAAAAAATATCAGTTGTACAAAAAACTACAATTTTTTACAATTGCAAAAAACGTTAAATTAAAAGCCTGCAAAATTAAGTACTAGTAAGGCATTATATAACAAACATACCTTGACCATAAAACTGAAATCAGTAATTGCTGGAGAATACACAGCACCTCCTGCACAGGGTCCCATGACCAGCGAGATCTGTGGAATAACCCCTGAGGCCATCACATTACGCTGGAAAATATCAGCATAACCAGCCAGCGACTCCACACCTTCCTGGATACGCGCACCACCCGAGTCATTCAAACCAATCACTGGTGCACCAACAAGCATGGCCTTGTCCATCACCTGTGTGAATAAGACAATGACTTGGAAATATATTTTGTAATGTTTTGCTAATGATAATGAAGTATGTTCATTGTCAGTGTATGATACGTGTTAACTGTAGAAACGTTTAAGGCATGCTTGTAGGTATGATGAATCCCTAGGGGCTACTAAGCTATCTAAGATTCTGTAAGTTATGCAAGAACTACTCGAAGACACCTCTTTCAACTTTGCTTTTGTGTTTATTCACTACTGTATTTTCTTTATGATGATGTAACGCTCACTGTATCCTGCATCAATAAACAAGATACCCTCTCCTGATGTTATGTTACTTTGTGTTTATTATGATAAATTGCAAATAATTTATAATCATTTCATGTTGATTAGAACACTTGTAACTTATGTCTTTGAATAGAAGGGTTCAGAAATGGAACAAATGTTGTACTAAAGAAATAAAAAACGTGCCAAGTACATTGTTGAGTTATAAAAGCATGCAGGAATTTTTAAGAACACAAGAAGAGTGTGGAGAAGCATGAGCCGAAAGCAAGTGCTTCTCACACTTCTTGAGTGTTCTTAAAAATTCCCAAGTGCTTCTATAACTCATCAATGCTCAAGGAAGACCTTTTTTTATTTCTTTTATAAAATGTATTGTAAATTGTGTGTGTTCATACTAATGATGTAGGCTACATGCATGGTATCTCAACAGTGCACTTGTGTGATGTAAGGCACATGCCTTATGGAAATATAATGAA